TCGAGGACGAGCAGGAATTAAGCTTGGGGATGCTTGATACGTCTCCAACATATATATAATTTTTGATTGTTCCATGCTATATTATATTTTTTTGGACATTATTGGCCTTTATTATACACTTTTATATTATTTTTGGGACTAACCTATTAACCGGAGGCCCAGCCCAGAATTGTTGTTTTTGCCTATTTTAGGGTTTCGCAGAAAAAGAATATCAAACGAAGTCCAAACGGAATGAAACCTTCGGGAACGTGATTTTTGGAACGAACGTGATCCAGAGGACTTGGACCCTACGTCAAGAAATCAACCAGGAGGCCACGAGGTAGGGGGGCGCGCCTACCCCCTAGGCGCGCCCTCCACCCTCGTGGGCCCCCTGTTGCTCCACCGACGTACTCCTTCCTCCTATATATATCTACGTACCCCCAAACTACCAGATACAGAGCCAAACCCCTAATTCCACCGCCGTAACTTTCTATATCCACGAGATCCCATCTTGGGGCCTTTTCCGGAGCTCCGCCGGAGGGGGCATCGATCACGGAGGGCTTCTACATCAACACCATAGCCCTTCCGATGAAGTGTGAGTAGTTTATTTCAGACCTTCGGGTCCATACTTATTAGCTAGATGACTTCTTCTCTCTTTTTGGATCTCAATACAAAGTTCTCCTCCTCTCTTGTGGAGATCTATTCGATGTAATCTTCTTTTGTGGTGTGTTTGTTGAGACCGATGAATTGTGGGTTTATGATCAAGTTTATCTATGAACAATATTTAAATCTTCTCTGAATTCTTTTATGTATGATTGATTATCTTTACAAGTCTCTTCGAATTATCAGTTTGGTTTGGCCTACTAGATTGATCTTTCTTGTAATGGGAGAAGTGCTTAGCTTTGGGTTCAATCTTGCGGTGTCCTTTCCTAGTGACAGTAGGGTCAGCAAGGCACGTATTGTATTGTTGCCATCGAGGATAACAAGATGGGGTTTATATCATATTGCATGGGTTTATCCCTCTACATCATGTCATCTTGCTTAAAGCGTTACTCTGTTCTCTTGAACTTAACACTCTAGATGCATGCTGGATAGCGGTCGATGTGTGGAGTAATAGTAGTAGATGCAGGCAGGAGTCGGTCTACTTGCCTCGGACGTGATGCCTATATACATGATCATACCTAGATATTCTCATAACTATGCTCAATTCTGTCAATTGCTCAACAATAATTTGTTTACCCACCGTGAATACTTATGCTCTTGAGAGAAGCCACTAGTGAAACCTATGGCCCCCGGGTCTATCTTCCATCATATTAATCTTCCAATACTTAGTTATTTCCTTTGCCATTTATTTTACTTTGCATCTTTTATTTCTCTTTATCATAAAAATACCAAAAATATTATCTTATCATATCTATCAGATCTCACCCTCGTAAGTGACCGTGTAGGGATTAACAACCCCTTATCGCGTTGGTTGCAAGGATTTATTTGTTTGTGTAGGTGCGAGGGACTCGTGCGTGGCCTCCTACTGGATTGATACCTTGGTTCTCAAAAACCGAGGGAAATACTTACGCTACTTTGCTACATCACCCTTTCGTCTTCAAGGGAAAACCAACGCAAGTGCTCAAGAGGTAGCAATTACCAGAATTTAACATCGATTTCAACATAGATTTACAAAAATGGTTTTCAAGAAGAATTATTACAACTAGGATTTGAACAACCTTAAAACTACAATTCTCTGCTAATTGAATTTACATGCTCTTCCTCCTCATCTTGGAAGTGACCTCATACACGGGTGATGCTTCAGCTGCCGCATGCATGTGTGTCCTCGATGCGGCAAAGTTCCACATTTTTAAGGCTGGTGTGAACGTGGATTCCATTTCTATGTAGGTGGACATCGAGATGCGATCAAAGTACTCCAGGGCGGAGGGGAGGTGAGTGCGGCCGATGGCTGATTCAACCTTACAACGCGCGTCGCCCTCGACCAAGTTGGAGAAATCACACGCCCTTCTCTCTCTCTCTCTTTGTGTGTGTGTGTGTGTGTGAGTGGTCCTCTGTGGTCTCACCAGAGAAAGTTTCACGAGGAGGATGCAGCCGCACTGACATGTCAATGGAGAAGAGAGGGTGCGGTGTGGCGGCCGACGCGAGCATGGATTCCATTTCTACGCAGGTGAACGTCGAGATGCATCATGTTTTTGTTAGGTTCGACCAAGCATCATGTTTTTGTTAAACAAAAAACTATTTGTTTAAAAACTTTATCTGTTAAAAACTTTGTTTGTTATAAAAGGTGTTTGTCAAAACTTTATTTCTTAAAAATGTTGTTTGTCAAAAAACACTCCTTTTGCCCACGTTAACTGGGGCTTTTAAATTTATATAAGCCGTTTTACAAAAAATATGTTTTCTTCTTGGTCATCGTAAAGTTTTTTTCTACCACTTCTTTCTCGACTCGAGTCTGTGGTTAATAACCGGATAGCCTTGTTTCTCTTTAAAACCGCTCAAGTTTAGTTCGCTAAACTAGCCAGAGAAGCACTCCGCCTTCGGGATGGGAGGTTGAAGCCAAAGGCTGACCCTCTTGACGTCTAGAGATCTGATATGTCATGATTAAGCATGACGGAAGCACAAATTTATCTTAAAGACCAATTCGTATTGGCACCAAAAAGCTTGATTTAATTTAGGTGTTAATTTTTTATGTGAGTTTTTGGTTTTCCAAGCTTATGGCACTTTTAACCTATTTGTGTGTCTCTAGGATAAGTCTCGCAGCTCAATGCCGGACTCCTTTAAAGCATCGGCCATATTAACGGGGGGATGTGGCTATCGGTGGTGATGAATAAGTCCTCCATGTCATGTCCCTATTTCGATGATGTTGTTTGGCATAGATGAAGAGCATGTGGAGCTTCAGTTCATGGCCAAATCATGGGCTTTATTTTTGTCTTCATTTTATCTAGGTCTCGACGATGTCCTATGGATAGGATGATGTGGTGTCATGTTTTTGTTCTATGGTTGCTTCTTTGTTTAATGAAGCTCAACCAAATGGGGTTCCATTGGGGAACTTGCTAGGATATGTCCCCCTATTTTGTCTTACCAAAGCTGAAATCATCTTTTGGCCCTCCTTAGTGCCAGCTCCTCCGGGATGGCAATTTATCCACATTGTAATAGTCGTCGTCTTCTGGTCTACATTGACAACTTCCTGGCCGCTGCTTCTTCAAGATCTTTGAAGGATCGAGAAGGTCACTATGGACAACTAAATTTTTTACTTTGAACACTAGCAAGTTTAGACTACATGAAATATAAAGATGTGCCTAAACAGTTGGTACGTTGAGATAAACAACCTACATGATGCTTGCAAGTTCAAGTGACAAAAACACAAGTAATAGCTATGGTTATTATTAACCGAAGACTATGAAGCTACAACTCTATGTAAAAAAAATACAAATTATAAAAATAAATAAATCAAAATAAACTCCCTAAAAATTGTTACGTAGGAGTATATCCGATCGCTCGGAGCTTCAGTTTCTGAAGTGATGAGAATATAAGGACTTTGCTACACTTACGGACGGCCAGCCCACGGAAAACAGCTATGCGCAGATGAGGAGTCAGCTGATTGACGCTCAAAATTTCACTTTGCGTGAACTGCGGGCTCACATAGCTCTCTCGTTCTGCCACGGCAATGCGTAGCCAGCTTTCCGTACAAGTTATCCGTAAGTGTATCATTTTCGGAATATAAAGGCAAGGAAATCCCCTTCAACTGGCAAGCTGGGCCCAAGAGTCAGAGCACGTGAACCGCTCCGGGCACGTGCACGCTCTCCCCTTGACCTACCGGCTTGGTGTTTTTCCCCTTCCCGAATTTCTTCCCCCCTTCCGGTGGCGATCTGCCTCCGACGACCGGAACCACGTCGAGCGTTTGACCCTCTCCTCCTCCTACCCTCTGCGCTAGATCGAATCACTCTTACTGCCTGGATCGGGCCTCCCGGAGTAGCGGAGGAGGGAGGAACGGGGGACCTTGTAGAGAGGGCTGGGCGCTTGCGGCGGGGGCGGAGGCAGAGCCGTGCTTGCCGGCTGCAGATGCGATTTGGTGTGGAGGTGAGGTGAAGCATCTGGCTCATTCGAGGTCCGGCCGAGGGCAGCGATTTGGGGGACAGCAGTGCACAGTTGCAGAGCTTCGGTGAACACAAGTGACTCAGAAGATCAAGTAAGAAGGTGTGTTTTCTGCTCAAGTTGTAGAGCTTTGCTGTCATTCATGTTTCTGAGCAGTGACCAGTGAGCATATTTTTTGTTTCATTCATTTTAGTGAAGCTCCCGTTTGTCAGCAGGGCTAGCTTGTTTGATTTCCATGTGAGATGATGAAATTCGATAATGGAAACTTGGATATACAGAAGCTGTTGGGTTAGGACTGTTACATTTATGATGAGTATTACTTTGCTGTAGACACCACCATATACCTGCAATTTCTCCTTTATAAAATCCACGGGGCTCCTCCCCTGTTGGAATTCGTATAGGATAATTCCTGACATTTGGTTCTGCGTCCGTAACTGATGTGAACCATGGGACTCTAGGCGTGTCCACACCAGGGTATCTTATGCAAACTTAATGTGCATCCTATTATATGTGAATTCGTAAAAATATATTTCTTTGTGGTTAGTTTTGGTTAACATTTTGCTGTCGAGACTGTTCATCTATATGAGTGAATGCAGTGAAAAAACGTTCTTTGTGGAGCCACTTAGTAGATTTATGAAATTGCATAAAGTGTGGCAGTATAATAACTCTGCATTATGTCTTTGTTTCCCTTCTATTGTATTTGCAGTCTCTCTGGTGGAGCATGTACTAAACTGTTAACGGAAGGGTTCGAGGAGTATGTTTGCCCGAGCTTGAAACCTGATTTACTCATAGCTCAGGAAGAACTGGTGAAGCCATCCACGTGTGTTTGGATATTGATTCCATTATATTGCAGCACAGTCTGTAGTTCTGTTGGGTGATGGAAAAAATGACCTGGTAGAATGAGAAGGAATTAAAGAACTGTTTCAATGAACATCCTACAAGACCTTAAGCATCTCAAGCACATTAGCTTGCCGGCGAGGCTTATCATTTGCAAGTGCCTTCTCATAGTGATTGGCCTTATTGTATTGAGAGCAATTATCTCCCCTTTTCTTGCCATCAGCTCTTCCGAGAAGAGTTTTTATGACTCACCAACCCTTGACTTGTTCCCTGGAGTTAGGAAAGGCAAGTTTGTTGAGGTCCCGCAGATTATATGGGGATTGAACAATCAGAAAATTGCATTTGCCAGAGCATGCTTGACGGCAAAATTCATGAACCGTTCTCTACTCATGCCAAGTCTGAGTGCTTCGCTTTTCTACAAAGAGGTTGACTTGCTGCAGCCTATTGCTTTCGACAAGGTATTTGACCTTAATAAGTTCAATGCCCGCTGTCATGGGTTTGTAAGGGTGGCTCGGTATTCAGAAGTTTCAAATCGTACCGAGCCTTTCAAACTTCAAAAGGGCAGTGGTAGGAGGTGGACAGTGGAGAGAGATTTGGATCAACTGCAACAATCCAGATTGGGGGAGGCCGATGGCTTTGAAGTGATTCATGTCACTGGGAAGCATCCATTTCTGTGGCCTGATCATTGGCCAGTGAAAGACTATGCCAGGATCTTCGATTGCCTTGCTGTAGCTCCTGAGATAGAAACTGAAGTTGTCAGGGTCATATCCAAGATTAAAGATGCAGGGAAAAAAGCAAGACATGATGCTGCCGTTTCTCATAATAAGAAGAGGATAGATGGTTTGAAAAATCTTCCTGTGCAGTACATTGCTGTTCACATGAGAATAGAGAAAGATTGGATGATTCATTGCAAGAAGTGGGAGCAGCGGTCCAATTTAAAGGAAATTTGCAGCAGCAAAGGAGAGATCATTCATAAGGTCTCACAGATCACTGACCTACGTCGCCCGGTTGTAGTTTACCTTGCAGTAGCCGACAGCCTTCTAGAAGATGATTCAGTAACCAGTGGTTGGAGAGTTGGTATGGTTGCTTATGAGAAGAAGAAACTTGGAGTTACTGACATATACGAGAAACAGCCTTACCTTATAAAGTCTGCCATCGACTTTGAGGTATGCGCAAGAGCGGATGTGTTTGTTGGCAATAGTTTCTCAACATTTTCCAACCTTGTAGTATTGTCTAGAACAGAAAGGTTATACAAGTTAGGGAAGGCAAGCTCATGTGGTGAGGATGTTGGGCTGTCGTCCTATGCGTACAATGTCATTGGAGATGATGGCGGGCCACAGAAATGGATGACAGATATGCTGGACACAAGCCTTCAGCGCATAAGTTACGGAACGAATAACGTTTCCTGCCACTGACCTTCAACACATGTAACATCTAACAAAGACACAACCGCAGACAGGAAGATAGCTTTGGCTGAATCTTGTCTAGAAATGAGCAGGTGCAGCAGCTTCACGTTACTTTCCATGCTAGAATCTTGACAGTTGCACTGGCATGTCGCACTTGCAAAATGACTTTGGCCAAGAATTGTTTGTGTAAGTGTGTACAGAAGTTGTTTCCTGAGCAGCATTATGCTGAACAGTTTTTTAGCATTCTGTGTGATGCATTGTTTGCATTCTGTGGTTTACTGGGAGGAACTTGCCTCACACTGTAGAGAATCTGACGCTGGCACTTTCACATGAAACATTTGTATCAAGTGTATTCGTTCGTTTATGTTGTTAAAACTCTTGATTCTGTAGCACCTTGTAATTTCCTTGAGAATGATTCTTCTTTGGATGTGTTCCTTCTCAACAAAATGCCCAGTCGGTGTAACCACAGACATCATATATCAACATCTGTGCAATGAAAGAGGTTTGATGTGGGGAAGTTTGAAGCTCATGGGGGCTGGAATTAACAACTTAAGAACGAACAAAGGGGACGGCAATTTCTGCGCAGACAGCTGATTCATCCAAAATAACTACAGGTAGTATACTAATTTTTAATATATAACAGTTGATTCAGTCAAGACAACATATGTCCTTGGTGGCTAGTTCTTTATGGATCTATCAAGGCATGGACCATGTCATGTTTAGGATGTGTAGTCTGCCTGCACGTCTGAAGATGTTCTGGTGAGCCCAGATGAATGAAACATTGCTATTTGGCTAAAAAAATATATTTTTTTGTTGCTTCCAACTGTCCTTCTGGACCTGGACAAGCTAGTTGCAGAAGATTGTGATTTTGTTCAGAAAATCTGAGCAAACCACCTGCTATCGGAGTACGGAAGGGGTTAGTTTTTGTTATGTCCTGATGAAAAATGGGCATAAAGTTCAGAGAACATATGCAATGGTTGAGTTTTTTCTTCTTGGACAAAAATGCAGCAGTAAACTATATATGCTCAAATTATGCCCCAAATTATGCACCAGATATTCCCAGTCAGCAATCTTGATTATGTGAGCACTCTTTAACCTATTATTTAAATGAAATCATCCTGATCTCATTAAGCCATCATATCAGGAGGCAAAAATGTGTTTAATTGGTAGGGTTAGGGGAATCTGAAGTAAGATCCTAGGCAGTAGTTTTGTTTTCTTGACTCTTACAAAATTCGTTGATGAAAACAAAGATGGTTACAGCAGCAAAAGATCCATGCTTTGTATTTTACAGTGGTGCAGCTTACAGTCAATAAATTCAAGTGCCACATGTCGCTTCAAACAAAAATTATTGCGTAACAGCTTGATGGTTGCCATGCTGTGCCAGCAAAAATAGTTCCAACTGAGAACGGCAACTGCTAAGGCTGATACATCATGCTCATGTTCATTTAGGGAAATAACTAATGTTATCTGGTTTCATGCTGTAGCAGCTCAACATATAAACCTTGAGAGTAACAGGGTTTTGTCCTACCTTGTACCTGGAACCAAGCTATCGGTTACTATATATCACTTGTCTTTCTGCTACTCTTCTGCAAACTAGTGCAAGACTCACAAGAACAAAGGCATTATGGAAGAAAAGGACTGCCCCGTCGAATCCTTCAAACACGAGGATGACAAGAAAAGCACACCACCAGAAATAGCAGTTGCTGATGAACCGTTCCCATTCTTCGGCCTGCTTTGCTACGCCGATGCGCTAGATTGGCTGCTCATGGTATCAGGGACAATTGGGTCCTTCGTACACGGCATGGCACCTGCAATGTCATATTACATACTTGGCAAAGCTGTCGATATGTTTGGGGACAACATAGGCAATCGGGAGGCAATTGTCCATCAACTTACTAAGGTTAATTTTCTTTCCAAAATATTCAAGGCCATGATATAAGACATCATTAGATTTTGTGAAGTGTTTTTGTTTGATTTTATTAAGGTTAAGAAAGCTGTTGGCTATGTCACTGACGGTGTATATTCTTGTTCTGATTTGTAGTTACTTCCATATATGTGGTCCTTGGCAATTATTACACTTCCTGCTGGAATGATTGGTGAGTACACCTCTTCTAACTTTGCTAGTTTACCCAGTGTAAACAAAATCATGAAAGTTGATGGTATTACTTAATTATGATGAGCTAAACTATTTCACAGTTATGAGAGTACTGAAGAATAGTAGAATTACTTCAAGTCAACATGGTAGCACAATATAAGTGCATGCTTATTGTATAGTATTTGAGGTAATGAACATTGGCACAAAAGAAACATGAATCCTAGTTACAGTGGAAACTTCTGTATATGAATATAAGTTCTTATTTATAAAATACAAAATGTGCGTAACATCCAGGTGTCAGTCAATTTCAGTGGGGCCTAAGTCACCCTCTGTATGGCACTATTTGCAAAGTTGCATGCAAGTATGGCCTACATGTAATCCTCGGTTTGAGAAACTTGGTACCAAGCAACTTTGAGTTGAAATTAGGCCAAAATGCTGAATTGAGAGGATTCTTCAAAAGCTAGTTTTCACTGAAATTATGGAAATTCTAGCTGATTTCAGCGGCCCGTTAAAATTTTCAGTGATAACCAATTTCGGGCAGATTGAAATATAACTCAAATTTTGGTCAATTAAAAAAATTTAGGTGGTTCGGCTGAATTTGAAATTTCAGTGATTTTACTGGTTACCAGAATTGGTCTAAAAGGAGAAGTTGTGAACCCTTGAAGCTGGTTAGAATTTTATTATTTTGTGTTGATGCCCCAATCAAACATCTTATAGTAGCCACCTGACAATAGCTTGGCATAAAATATTATGTGAAGTTCAGAAGAACAGCAGCACATCACAAACCAAAGAAATGGGCACAGAAAACAATCTTTATGATGATAAAAGCGGGGAATTTCATAATAGCACCAATCTCTATTTAACTACTTCTCTTATTTAACTCTTCGTGCATGAACAAGAAAACACCACGTGATGGAAACACAAATAATATGAAATGGCATCAGTATATATTGAAATAAACTGTCTTACGTTTCTGCCACAATGTCCCTGTGCTGCAGGAATTACATGTTGGATGTACACAAGTCAGAGACAAATGACACACATGCAGATGGCATATCTGGGATCAGTACTCAGTCAAGATGTCGGAGCTTTTGACACCGACTTAACCACCGCGAACATCATGGCCGGAACAACTAATCACATGAGCGTCATAAAAGATGCAATTGGAGAGAAGGTATCAGTTTGCATGTTATAGCATTCACTGTATGTTTGTTAATCCAAAGAGAAGCAAAAAAGATTGTTTTATGGTAACAAATTATGAACAGTATCTTACTTATTTTTCTCAGATGGGTCACTTTATTTCTAATTTCTCCACATTCCTAGTCGCTGTCATTGTTGCTTTTGTGTGCTGCTGGGAGGTGGGTATGCTCTCTGTGTTAGTTGTTCCGATGCTTCTTGTGGTTGGAGCAACATATGCTAAAACAATGATTGGCATGTCGATGACAAGGACAGCTTTGGTCTCTGAAACAACCACTGTTGTGGAACAGGTACCTACACAATGACAGTTTTGTTAGAAATAAGCAGGTTACCATATTAAATGTATATTATAAAACATATATTTGTGCAGACTCTTTCACATATCAAGACTGTCTTCTCATTTGTTGGAGAAAACTCGGCGATGAAATCCTTTGTGAAATGCATGGACAAGCAATACAAGTTAAGCAAGAAAGAGGCATTCATAAAAGGACTAGGTTTGGGAATGTTACAGATTGTAACTTTCTGTTCGTACTCACTGAGGCCTCATTCGGTTTGGAGGATTTTCGTAGGAAAAACATAGGAATAAGGATTCCAGAGGAAAATTTCCTATGTATGCATTCGGTTTGTAGGAAATGCGTGCAGGAATTTCGTAGGAATACTACTCATTTCCCGTGTTTTTGGAGGAAACTACACATCCACTCAAAGCTCATTTTACACGTAGGAACGAGGCAAGTCAATTCCTTAGGATGGCAAGTGCCATCCTATCATATTCCTATACTACTCCTAATTCCTACGTTTTGATTTCCTCCAAACCGAATGAGCCCTGACAATCTATGTTGGAGCAGTAGCAGTAACTAGAAGATCCGCGAAAGCGGGTGAGACAATTGCGGCTGTTATTAACATCCTCTCCGGTGCAATGTAATACTGAGAACTATCTTTCTAGCAATATATCATACTGGCATGGTTATCCCAAATTACTATTCATCCAAAATAATTATCCTGCGGAGTAATCAGTGCTGATATTTTTGTTATCTGTGATTTCAGATATCTCTCAAATGCAGCTCCAGACCTTCAGATCTTCAGTCAAGCAAAAGCTGCTGGTAAAGAAGTGTTTAAGGTTATCAAAAGAAATCCAGTGATAAGTTCTGGATCAAATGGAAGAATATTGGAGAAGGTCATTGGTGACATTGAAATACGAGAGGTGCATTTCACATATCCATCCCGTGAAGATAACCCAATTCTCCAAGGTTTCTCACTGGCTGTACCGGCAGGCAAAATTGTGGCTCTTGTCGGGAGTAGTGGATGTGGGAAGAGCACTGTGATTTCTTTGGTTCAGAGGTTCTACGACGCTATGTCAGGTACACGTCTAGGACATATACCTAACACCGCACAAACTTTAGCCGAGGTGTGTATAAACTTCATATAGTTTGCTGGGCTGTATTCAGCAGTGCTTGATTTTACGACTTCAGACTGCATTCTTGACATAATAAAGTTGCAAAAGTATCTTTTGTCACGGGGAACTCTTGCAATCCCCCTTTTGCTATGAAAATGGTGTCCTCTGTTGTGCCACTTGTTCTATCATACCCCATTTTGTTTCTGCCACTTCCATGTGGTTAAAGGGGTTTGATCATTAAGAAAAATAGATGAGCGGAGAGAAATACCAGAAATCATTATAAACTTAGAAATTGTAAATCAAGAAGAACAGATAAAATTCAAAACAAATAGTGAGCCACTGAATAATTTTAATTTCTGAAGCAAAGATGTAAAAATAAATTAAATAGTTTACAACGGGTAAATTTTAAGGGTCCCATAAACTTTAGAAATATTGATATGTTTCCATAGTGCAAATATTCTGATGAGAAATCCTAGTGTAAAAATTTAGAAAAAACTTAACCTTTTTCGCAACATCTTAAGTATATCCTGTTATAAAATATTACTAAATTTTCTTACTGGTTCAAAAGTGATCCATCATTTTCCCGTATTTCCAGTATTTTAATTTACCTTTTCTTAATTTATATTATCTTTTGTTTTTTTAATAAAAGAAAAACTATTTTTTTGATATTTTCCTAATGGTCAAACCCTTTGAACATACTTAAGTTGTCACAAACGCAACATGATGCCAGAATAGAGGAATTAAGGAGAAGATCGTTTTTAGAATGCAAAATGTTATTGCAAGATTTTGCAGTGGAAAAAGAAAACAATCATATTATATTCTACACCAAAAGTTAAATAATATGTTGACATGTCAAACAGAACCAATTGTTGCAAAAAAAAGGAAAATTCAAATGATGTGTAGAATGTAAAATTTTCAGATTTTACTTGTGTTTGTAATACGGTGTGGAATGCAGGTGACATATTATGTTATGACCGGCTTGGTCTATTCTAGGAAGAGGCCCACCGGGCATTAGTATTAGGGGCTTGGCCCACAAGTTATCTTAGGCAAGTTATCTTAGGAAAGTTATCTTAGGCTAAAGTTATAAATACTCATGTAAGACATCGTTTTGAGGCAAGCAATAAAGACTATTATTATCTTTTGTTGCCCGGCTCCTAGAGGAGCCGGAAACCCTAGCCGCCGCAGCCAAGCCGCCGCCGCCCTCAACCCTAGCCGCGACGGCGCCCTGCCGCCGGCGCGCCCGTTCCTCGCCGCGTCCACTCCCTCCTTGCCCCTACAACGTACGCAGTAGAGCCGGTAGGAACCCTAGTCCTACCAATTTGGTATCCAGAGACACCAGGCCCCCACCCCGCTCTCGTTGCCGCCGGCCACTTCCACCGCGATGGCGGAGATCGCATCCGGCACCACCATCACCACCGCGACAGCGCCCATCACCATCACGGCGGACCCGCCTCCGCTCCTCTCGCCCGAGGAGGTGTCGGGCACCCTGCGGGAGCTTGTCCAGGCGGTCAGGGGTATTACCCTCTACCTCGCTGGGAACCAGCCCCCGCCACCGAGCGCCGGCACCACCGCCTACGGACCACCGCCGCTACAGTGGCCCGCCCCGGCCTTCCAGGCGCCCTACGGAGGGGCGTCCCAGCCGCCGCTGCTGCTGCCGCACTACTCGGCTGCGGGACAGCCGTGGCCAGCATGGCCGGCCTCCACCGCGCCGCCGGGGGGGCCGACCCAGCAGCTTCTTCCGGCGCCACCGCCGGCCCCCACGCCGTAGGCGCCGGTGCAGCAGCTCCACCAGGCGCCGCCGCCATCGACAGTACCACCACCCGCGCCTAGGGCTACGGGTCGGCCCTTGCACCAGGTGCAGTTTCCACCGTCACCATGGCCGATCCCCGCTTGGGCGACCGGCTCGTCTCCGGGCCCGGTCTACTCCACGGCGCCGGAACACCCAATGCCCTCCCTGCGGTTTGATCACCCCTCCAGCTCGGCGAACTACGCCCCGGCGCTTCCCGACCCAGCATACGCGCCGGCGGCGACTGCGGCCGCCCCCGAGCACGGCGGGCCGACACCCCCTCGCTTCGCCAAACTGGACTTCGCCACCTACGAGGGCACGGAGGACCCCCTCAACTGGCTCAACCAGTGCGAGCAGTTCTTTCGAGGGCAGCGGACGCTCGCTTTGGATCGTACCTGGCTCGCGTCCTATCATCTTCGAGGCACAGCGCAGACCTGGTACTACGCCCTCGAGCAGGACGAGGGCGCCATGCCACCTTGGGAGCGCTTCCGTGAGCTCTGTCTCCTCCGTTTTGGGCCTCCTATCCACGGGAGCCGACTGGCGGCCCTCGGCCGTTTACCGTTCACATCTACGGTGCAGGATTACGCCGACCGCTTCCAGGCCCTGGCGTGCCACGCGCCGGGCGTCTCCGCGACCCAGCGCGCCGAGCTCTTTGTGGGCGGTCTGCCGGACCATATCCGCGTGGACGTCGAGCTCCGGGATCCCCCCGACCTCCAGACGGCCATGTACTACGCCCGGGCCTTCGAGCAGCGGGCCCAGGCACTGCAGCAGCTACTCGGACGGAGCGGCCGCCAGCCCAGTCGGCCAGCACCGACTTCCTCAGCCCTGGGTCGGCCTCTCCCAGCCGCGACAGCCACACCCCCGGCCGCCACACGACCCTTCCGTCGGCTGTCACCGGCCGAGCAGCAGGAGCGTCGCCGTCAGGGTCTCTGCTTCAACTGCGATGAGCCCTACACGCCGACCCATGTCTGCCCCCGCCTCTTTTATTTAGAGACGGCCGACTACATCGAGGAGGACGACTCGCCCGACCCGTTACATCCGCCTGCGGCGACCGAGGACGCGGCCGCGGATTCCGCAGCGACGGCATGCGTCGTCTCCCTTCACGCCCTGGCCGGCATCCGGGGCGAGCGGACCATGCTGCTGCCCGTGACGATCCATGGCGAGCGACTGGTGGCCCTGCTGGATACGGGCTCCACACACAACTTTCTGCCCGAGTCGACCATGCGTCGGCTAGCCCTCCTGACGACGGGCGGGGAGCGCTTGCGGATCACAGTGGCGAACGGCGATCGCCTCTGGTGCCATGGGCTAGCCCGCGACGTTCCCATCTCCATCGGCGGCGAACACTTTTCCATCACCTGTGCAGGGATCGATCTGGGCTGCTTCGACTTCATCCTCGGGGTGGACTTTCTCCGGACCCTCGGCCCCATCCTGTGGGATTTCGACGCGCTCACGATGACATTCTGGCGGCAGGGCCGCCGCATCCGGTGGGAGGGCATTGGGGGCGCCGCGCCTGCCGTGCCACACCTCCAGCTGGCTGTCGCGTCCTCGGAGGCCGAGCACCCCCTGCTGGATTCTCTTCTGCACCAGCACAGCGACATCTTCGACGATCCGCGGGGTCTTCCGCCTGCCCGGGTGTACGACCATCATATTCACCTCGTACCAGGTTCCACTCCGGTGGCGGTGCGGCCCTACCGCTACCCCCAGCTGCAGAAGGATGAGTTGGAGCGCCAGTGTGCCCTGATGCTCGCCGCAGGCATCATCCGGATCTCCACATCGCCCTTCACGGCGCCGGTGCTTCTCGTCCGTAAGTCAGACGGCACATGGCGCTTCTGCATCGACTACCGCGCCCTCAACGCACTCACGCTCAAGGACAAGTTCCCTATACCGGTGGTCGACGAGCTCTTGGATGAGCTCCATGGGGCACGCTTCTTCACCAAGCTCGATCTCCGGTCGGGCTGTCATCAGGTGCGCATGCATCCGGACGACATCGCCAAGACGGCGTTTCGCACCCACCATGGCCACTTCGAGTTCTTGGTGATGCCTTTCGGCCTCGCCAACGCCCCGGCGACGTTCCAGGCCCTGATGAACGACGTCCTTCGACCCTACTTACGGCGGTTTGTGCTTGTTTTCTTTGATGACATTCTTATCTACAGCGCCACCTGGGCCGAACATCTCCAGCACGTCGCCATCGTCTTCAACGAGCTTCGGGCGCACCACCTCCACCTTAAGCGCTCGAAGTGCTCGTTCGGGACGCCTACCGTCGCCTACCTCGGCCATGTCATCTCGGCCGACGGGGTGGCTATGGACGCCGATAAGGTGGCGGCCGTCTTCGCCTGGCCGACGCCTCACTCGCCGCGGGCTCTCCGCGGGTTCCTCGGACTCGCCGGCTACTACCGGAAATTTATCCGGGAGTTCGGACTCATCGCGGCGCCCCTCACGCGGTTGCTTCGCCGCGACGCCTTCGCCTGGGACGACGAGGCGACGACGGCGTTCGAGGCCCTCAAGGGGGCCCTCACGACGGGCCCCGTCCTCCAGATGCCCGACTTCGACCGCCCGTTCGTGGTGGACTGCGACGCCTCGGGCGCCGGGTTCGGCGCCGTACTTCATCAGGGCGATGGGCCCCTCGCTTTCTTCAGCCGGCCTTTCGCTCCGCGCCATCTTAAGTTGGCAGCTTACGAGCGGGAGCTCATTGGCCTCGTCCAGGCCGTGCGTCATTAGCAGCCATACTTGTGGGGGCGGACCTTCCACATTCGCACGGACCACTACAGCCTGAAGTTCTTGCTGGATCAACGGCTGTCGACCGTTCCGCAGCACCAGTGGATCAGCAAGCTCTTCGGCTTCGACTTCTCCGTCGAGTATCGGCCGGGCCGTCTTAACACCGTGGCCGACGCGCTGTCCCGTCGCGATTCCGACCTCGCGCCACCCGCCGACGCGTCCGCCGGGACGGCCCTGTGCATCCGCTCCGGGCCATCGTTCGGTCTCTTCACCGACATTCGACGCGCCACTGCAACGGCAGATGACGCCGCACTTCTTCAGCAGCAGCTCGCGGCCGGCGACTTGGAGGAGCCCTGGCGCTTCTCTGACGGACTGCTCCTCCATGGGCGCCAGATTTTTGTTCCGGCGCATGATGATCTCCGTCACCAGGTGTTGCAGCTCGCCCACTCGGCGGGCCATGAGGGTGTGCAGAAAACCCTCCATCGTCTTCGCGCCGACTTCTACATCCCTGGCGATCGTGCCCTGGTCCGCGACTGGGTTCGGTCTTGTCAGACTTGCCAGCGCAACAAGACAGAGACCCTGAGGCCGGCGGGGCTCCTTCAGCCCTTGGAGGTGCCGTCTCAGGTTTGGGCGGATATCTCCTTGGACTTCATCGAGGGCCTTCCCAAGGTGGGGGGCAAGTCGGTCATCCTCACGGTGGTCGATCGCTTCTCTAAGTACGCCCACTTCATCGCGCTGGGCCATCCGTACACGGCGGCGTCCGTGGCCCGGGCCTTCTTCGACGGCATAGTCCGTCTACACGGGTTCCCGACGTCGATCGTCAGTGATCGGGACCCAGTCTTCACGGGCCATGTCTGGCGCGACCTCTTCAGGATGGCGGGTGTCCAGCTCCGCCTGAGTACGGCATTCCATCCTCAGACGGACGGTCAGTCTGAGGTGGTTAACAAGGTCATTGCCATGTATTTGCGTTGTGTGACAGGTGATCGGCCTCGCGCTTGGGTGGACTGGCTCTCTTGGGCGGAGTACTGCTACAACACTTCTTATCACTCCGCCTTGCGCGCGACGCCATTTGAGGTGGTCTATGGTCGACCACCCCCGCCTATACTTCCGGTTGACCCGGAGACGGCTCGGACGGCGGTTGCGGGTGACCTTATCCGCACCCGTGATGAGATGCTGGTTGAGGTCCGTCAGCGTCTCCTTCAGGCCCAGCAGACGGCCAAGCACTACTACGACGATCATCATCGCGAGGCGGAGTTCGCAGTGGGTGACTGGGTGTGGCTGCGTCTTCTCCACCGCTCTACGCAGTCACTGGACCCGCGCGCGAAGCGCAAGCTTGGTCCTCGCTACGCCGGGCCCTTCCCTGTCATGGAGCGCATTGGGAAGGTGGCCTATCGTCTTCAGCTTCCAGCCCGCGCCCGCATCCACGACGTGTTCCATGTGGGGCTGCTCAAGCCTTTCCGTGGCGAGCCACCAGCGGCTCCTCCGGTGCTTCCTCCAACCGCCGATGGTCGCATTCTTCCAGAGCCAGCAAAGGTGTTGCAGGCCCAGCTCCGTCGTGGCGTCTGGTTCGTCCTAATTCAGTGGGCGGGCCTTCCGGAGGAGGCTACTTGGGAGCAGCGTGAGGATTTCCGTCAACACTATCCAGACTTTCAGCTCGAGGACGAGCTGTTTGCGCAGGCGGGGAGAGATGTTATGACCGGCTTGGTCTATTCTAGGAAGAGGCCCACCGGGCATTAGTATTAGGGGCTTGGCCCACAAGTTATCTTAGGAAAGTTATCTTAGGCTAAAGTTATAAATACTCATGTAAGACATCGTTTTAAGGCAAGCAATAAAGACTATTATTATCTTTTGTTGCCCGGCTCCTAGAGGAGCCGGAAACCCTAGCCGCCGCAGCCAAGCCGCCGCCGCCCTCAACCCTAGCCGCGACGGCGCCCTGCCGCCGGCGCGCCCGTTCCTCGCCGCGTCCACTCCCTCCTTGCCCCTACAACCTACGCAGTAGAGCCGGTAGGAACCCTAGTCCTACCATATTAATTGACGGTCAAAACATGAAGGAACTTGATCTGAAGTCCCTGAGGAGAAATATAGGTTCAGTGTCTCAAGAACCATCACTCTTTTCTGGTACTATTTCTGATAATTTGAGAATTGGCAAAATGAGTGCAACTGATGAAGAGGTCACTGAAGCAGCAAAAACAGCTAATGTGCACACCTTTATTTCCAAACTTCCAAACCAATACTCAACTGAGGTAAGACTTATGTTCACAAAGCAAGGACAGTGAAAACTTCACAAACCTCTCTTTTATTCTAGTATGTTCTAAGTAAAATTATTGAGTTTAATAGCCTTACAGAAATGCAGACTACATTTCAAATTGGGCACTCCATTGTCCCTATCCCTAGGTAGTCCATAGCGAGCAGCAATTTGTTGCATAAAGGATAGCTAACTTATTTAGATACCAAATCTTTATAATAGTGAGCATTACCCCTATTCATGGATTACTTCAGGTAGGAGAAAGAGGTGTGCAACTATCAGGAGGCCAGAAACAGAGAATAGCGATCGCAAGGGCTATTCTAAAAAATCCTCCAATTCTTCTGCTTGATGAAGCCACAAGTGCTCTTGATTCAGAATCCGAGAAGCTAGTTCAGGATGCTCTTGACAGAGCTATGCAAGGGAGAACTGTCATCTTGATTGCCCACAGAATATCAACAATTATAAACGCGGACAAGATTGTTGTTGTGGAGAATGGAAGAGTAGCTCATTCTGGAACTCATAGAGAATTGCTGGAGAAAAGTGCATTCTACTCGAGTGTATGTAACATGCAGAATCTGGAGAAGGAATCTGGCCAGAGTAGAGACAGGTAAATGTAATCAATTACATGCTTCTTTACACTGTATAATGTCCCCTTATCAAATCCATCATCACATTGTACATGTGCCAGAAGATGAATCGGCGCTGTGCTGAAAATATGTTTCTCTAAACTGGACCAACATAAAGTACCTAATTTGATTACTTATAATAAGGGTACAACGCACTCACTAGTTTATTTTGAGTGGTAAAACAGAATCACTGAACAAGACGAAGAAGAACAAGACAACAAGCCATCTTTCACTGCAGATGATAAAGAGAAGAAAATTGAATTGACCTCAAAGCAACCGAAGCAAGGGGCCAGAAAGAGAACATCTGCTTTCTACAGAATATTTCTTCGAACATTTAAACTTGTGCCTGGTAAAGTTCTGCTGGGTTCTACAGCAGCAGCAGTCTCTGGGATCTCGAGGCCTATATTTGCTTTCTTCATTATAACGGTTGCCATGGCATACCTGGAGACAGATGCGCAGAGAATAGTTGGCAAATACTCGGTAATTTTGTTCCTAGTTGGGTTTTAAACATTTTTCAGTAACATCTTTCAGCACTATATTTATGGCCTGGTCGGTGAAAGGGCGATGAATAACCTAAGGGAGGCCCTCTTTTCAGGTATGACACACGAACATAAAGTTTCGGGTCTCTCACGAGTGTCATTTAGCACAGGCGTATATGGACGGTCATTGTCTTGAATGTAACACCATCTCTCTTTGCTAAATGCAGTCGTTCTTCGGAGCGAAGTAGGTTGGTTCGAAGAACCCGGGAACAGCGTCGGCTTCCTGACCGCACGTGTTGTCAGCGACACCTCAATGATCAAAACGGTTATATCCGACCGGATGTCCGTCATCGTTCAGTGCATCTCTTCCATCCTGATAGCAACGGTGTTAAGCACAGCAGTGAACTGGAGGATGGCTCTAGCCGTATATGCTATGATGCCATGCCACCTAATCGCCGGCCTCGTACAAGTCAGGTCAGCGAAAGGCTTTGCCACTGACAATTCCACTTCCCACCAGAAGCTCATCTCGCTCACCTCAGAGGCCGTCAGCAACATCCGCACCGTGGCGTCTTTCGTTCAGGAAGAGGAGATACTCAGGAAAGCGGACTTGGCACTTCAAGAACCGATGCAGACTATCAGGATGGAGATCATCAAGTACGGGGCGTTGCAGGGGGCTGCCCTCTGCCTATGGCACATGACGCACGCCATCCAGTTGAGCTGCAGCATTGCGCTGATTGGCAATGGACTGGCAACGTTTGAAAACTGTGTACGGTCATACCAGACGTTCGCGCTGACGGTGCCTTCCATCACGGAGCTATGGACCTTGATCCCTATGGTCATGTCGGCGCTCGCGGTACTGGACCCTGCGCTCGACATTCTTGACAGAGAAACAACGATTGTGCCGGATGTACCAAAAGTGTCTCATGATGAAGAAGACAGAATTGTGGGTGGCGTCGCGTTTGAAGGCGTCAGCTTCAGCTATCCCTCCAGAGCAAAGGTGGCCATTCTGGATGGCTTCAGTCTCGCCATTGAGCCAGGCCAGAGGGTCGCCTTGGTCGGCCCGAGCGGCGCCGGGAAGTCCACGGTGTTCGCGCTCCTGCTAAGGTTCTACGAGCCTAGCCAAGGAAGAGTGCTCGTGGACGGTAAGGACATCAGGGGCTACAACCTGAAGTGGCTGAGGAGGCAGATAGGGCTGGTCCAGCAGGAGCCGATCCTGTTCAACCTGTCCATCAGGGAGAACATCAGCTACGGCAACGAAGGCGCGTCGGAGGCGGAGATAGTGCAGGCCGCGACGGAGGCCAACATCCACGAGTTCATCAGCGGCCTGTCGGCGGGGTATGGCACCGTGGTCGGGGACAAAGGGAGCCAGCTTTCCGGGGGGCAGAAGCAGAGGATCGCCATCGCCAGGACCATTCTGAAGAAGCCTGCCATACTGCTGCTGGACGAGGCGACCAGCGGCCTGGACGGCGAGTCCGAGAGGGTGGTGATGAGCTCCCTGGCCGCGAAGGGGTGGGGGAAGAGCAGTATCGGCGAGGTGTCGTCGAGCACGACCACGAGCATCACGATCGCGCACCGGCTGTCCACGGTGGCGAACGCGGATGTGATCGTCGTGATGGAGAAAGGTGCGGTGGTCGAGATGGGCAGCCATGAGGCGCTGGTCTCTGTGAGCAATGGTGTTTACTCGCGGATGTACCGTGTGCACGTCAAAGGGGCGAAGGACTGAGTTTCTTTGCATGGGTTTCTGATATGGCTGCAGCATTATTAGAAATTAAAGCATCGAAAATTCTAGACTAACGGACTAATACAGGGTTTTACGGGTTTTACTCTGTGTTATTATAACAATTTAAGCATCATTTGCTAAGTTTAGGTCTTATCTTGGTGGGGAAACTTGCAGCCCTGTGCACTGGATAAGCTAACTGTCACTTACAGCCGTGTTTCCCTGCATTGTGTCATTGTGTGGGGAAACGTTTACAAACGGTGCACCGGCCGAAGCTTCGGCCTGTCCCGCGCACGCCGCTCGATCGCGTAGCGATCCAGCGCTCCCGCACCTCCCGATCCACGTTTGCATGTTGGTTTTCTTTTCTTGGCCCATCACGTGGTCTTGGCCCACCACGTTTACTCGGTCAGCTCTATTTTCACCAACCGCTCAATCTGTGGGGTGGGAAAAAGAGCTATAATTGCAGACGGACGAAGTTGCATCCGTTTCTTGTTGCAACGACGACGATTTTTGCTACCACTATCGTTGTCTTTTGCTATGACCAGCGTGTTTATTTGCTACATCCATTTTTAATGGTGATGATTGGTGGCCGGCGTTCGTGCAGATGACTGGGACAACGATTTTTGCTGCAACTGTCGTTGGATTTTGCTACAACTGACGAAGAAATTTGCGACATCAATTCATGGCAGAGATGCACCCGGGACAACAACGACGATGATTTTTGGTTGCAAATGTCGTTGTCTTCTGCTACCACCAGCGAGTTTTTGCTACATCTATCTTAATGGTGATGATTGGTGGCCATCACCCGTGCAACCCTGTGCAGCGAACGTCGACGGTGGAAAAAAGCTTCAACCATCGATTTCTTGCCCAAATGAAAAAAGCTGCAACCGTTTACATGAAAGCTTCAACCTGTTTACATGAAATTGCTGGAACCGGCTTTTCTTCCTCGACGATGGCCATGGCGTCTCTTTGTAGCAATTTTTTCTGCGCTGTAGGTTGAAGCACCGTCGTCGCCATTGTTTTTGCTAGTTGCAGCTTCCTCGCAGCATGGTCACAACATTTTTTTGCTGACGGATCCAGCAATCGGCGTATGGCAGTCTCTTGCCGTTGAAACAAATTACGTTGCCGGTTCCAGCTTTTGTGGATACTGTTTGTAACTGTAACGCCCCAATACCAGAGCTTCAGATGCCTTCCAGGGTTTTCGTGTTTTGTTTCGTCTGTTGCATTCATCTTTGCATCGCGTGCATTGCATCATGTCATCATGCCATCATGTCATTTCTTTTTTCTTAACTCAACTAAATAAATGGCATGGATCTTTGATCCATTTAAACCGAGGGAACTCACATGGTGGTTTCTCTTTATAACCTATCCTCCCGATAGTAGGGAGCTATATTCAATATTTCTTTAATTTGATATTCACCATAACACACGTGCAAAAATAATCCTCATGCCTATTTCCACTTCGAGTTTGACCTTCAAATCTTGTCCACAATTCTGTATCTCTTTTATCGAGGTTCCTCTAAAAACCGAACATTTTGGACCATCCAAACCTCCACTTCCTATTCACCCATTTGAATTTAATTCAAATGTGTTTGAATCTAAGCCTTGCATCCATGCCCACTCCTATTTTCTTGGATTAGACTCATTTTTATGAGTTTGAGAGTATATTCTTTCTCCTACCATCTTCTTTTCCTCTTTTCTTTCTTTCTTTCTTGTTTTTCTTCTCTGTTTTTTTCTGTTCTTTAGAGTGAGAGAGAGAGCCCAGCCCAGCTACAACCTATGCTAGGCCGGCCCTTTAGGCCCACCTAACCCTTGCATGTAGCCCACTAGTGCCGCAACCCTAGACCCAGGGAGCCCGACTCCCTTCTCCCTCGATACCTTCCCCTCGCGCCGCCATCTCCCTCTCGTTCCCTGGCCCCTCCTTCTCACGGCCTTAGGGTCCGTCGCTGCCCCATGTTGCTGCTGCTTCGTTGCCTGCCTCCCATCGATGACCGGGGCTGCATGTTTCGGTTCGCCAAGTACCACCACACCCGAGTCTTTGCCTTGCTTCGTTTTGGGATTGAAGACCGAGATGAGACCGCCAAGACCCTGAACGACTACCGCCGCCGAAGTCCGCGAGTACAACTACTTCCACAACGCGTCGTGTACGACTACCATCGCTTGGGTTTGACAAGACTCCGAGTACCACTACGCCCCATCGAACCCAAACCGTCTCGTTTGCACGCTTCGAAGGTATAACCGCCGAGACGACCTCCCGAGAATGAATGTGTAACACCCTCGATGCGACTATATCTCCCACGTATCGAGGCACGACTTAGAGGCATAATCGCATTGAAGGCATATGTCGCAAGTTAGGCAATCTTCACAATCATCCCATGTAATATAGATAATAAAAGGGGAGATAACATAGTTGGCTTACACTCGCCATGTCAATCAAGTACTTAAATATCATTACATCAACCAAACACTCATGGCCCGACTACGGCGCCAAAATAAAAGATAACCCAACATGCGACACGGTCCCGATCACCCCCAACTGGGCACCACTACTGATCATCAGGAAAGCAAACATAGTAACGTTGAGAGTCCTCGTCGAACTCCCACTTGAGCTCGAGCGCGTCACCTGGAGCGGAATCATCAGGCCCTGCATCTGGTGTAATAGTAATCTGTGAGCCACAGGGACTCAGCAATCTCGCACCCTCGCGATCAAGACTATTTAAGCTTATAGGTAAGGCAAGGTAAATATGTGGAGCTGCAGCAAGCGACTAGCAAATATGGTGGCTATCCTGTTCGCAAAAGAGAGCGAGAAGAGGAGGCAAAGCGCGAGCGAGAAACTAGAGAGCAACCTGTGCAAACATTACTCCAACACCGTGTCCACTTCTCGGACTCCACCGAGAAGAGGGCATCACGGTAACTCACACGGTCGATTCATTTTAATTAAGTTAAGGTTCAAGTTATCTACAACCGGACATTAACAAATTCCCATCTGCCCATAACCGCGGGCACGACTTTCAAAAGTTCAAATCCCTGCAGAGGAGTCCCAATTTAGCCCATGACAAGCTCTCACGGTCAACGGAGGAATAGACCTCCTCCCGAGACGTTCCGATCAGACTTGGTACCTCGGTTCTTCAAGACACTTCGACAGGTTAAAACAAGACCAGCAACACCGCCCGAATGTGCCGACAAATCCTGATAGGAGCTGCACATATCTCGTTCTCAGGGCACACTCAGATGAGACATCCTACGAGTAAAACCAACCCTCAAGTTGCCCCGAGGTGGCCCCGCAGTCTACTCGGTCGGACCAACACTCAGAGGAGCACTGGCCCGGGGGGGGGGGGTTAAATAAGATGACCCCCGGGCTCCGGAAACCCAAGGGAAAAAGAGGCTAGGTGGCAAATGATAAAACCAAGGTTGGGCATTGCTGGAAAAGCTTTAATCAAGGCGAACTATCAAGGGGTTCCCATTATAACCCAACCGCGTAAGGAACGCAAAATCCGGGAACATAACACCGATATGACGGAAACTAGGGCGGCAAGAGTGGAACAAAACACTAGGCGAGAGGCCGAGCCTTCCACCCTTTACCAAGTATATAGATGCATTAAGATAACATGGCAATATAATGATATCCCAACAAGTAAATAGATGTTCCAACAAGGAACATCCTCCAATCTTCACCTGCAACTAGCAACACTATAAGAGGGGCTGAGCAAAGCGGTAACATAGCCAATCAACGGTTTGCTAGGACATGGTGGGTTAGAGGTTTGACATGGCAATTTGGGAGGCTTGAAAGCAAGTGGTAGGCATCGTAGCATAGGCATAGCAAAAGAGCGAGCATCTAGCAAAGCAAAGATAGTAGTGATTTCGAGGGTATGATCATCTTGCCTGCAAAGTTGTCAGAGTTGACTGGATCCTCGAAAGCAAACTCAACGGGCTCCTCGTTAGCGAACTCGTCTCCCGGCTCTACCCAAACAAGACAAACAAGCAACAAGGACATAATCAACCACGTGCAAGGATCAAACAATATGATGCAAGGATGGTATGCTATGCGGGATGCATATGCAAGATTTGACAAGGGATGCATGAAACTAGCCTCAATTTGGGAATCCAAGTGTGCCACTGGAAAGATGAGATGAAATCGCTTGAAAACGATATAAAGAACGCCGGAATCGGAGTTACGGTTTGGAAATGGCAAGCGATTCAAATATGACCACGTTCTGCGATTTACAGCAAGTAGCCATCTAAATGCAATGAGATGAACAAGCTACAACACCCAAACATGGCAGAAAAATACATGGCAGGGATGCATTCATGATGCTTAACAAATGTCTAGCACTGCGCTATGACCAATTCATCCATTAACAGGTTCAAATAAGCATGGCAAAAATGCATATGGTAAACAGATCTCAGACTTAGTGAAATTAACACTTGTCTGGAATTTCAGATCAGGTAGCACACTTCGGAGCAACAAAACTACATGCTACAGGACCTGAACATGGCAAAGTAAATCATGACATGGAGCTACTCAAAAAGCTTAACAAAAGTCCCTTAGTGACCTTGAGCCAAAAGGGACTAGAAAATACAATTGCAAGCATGTGAACATGGCAAAAACATAATCAGTTCACAGACGTGGTGAAAACTGGAGCATGCTGAAAACAGATATCAAGTAGGCATGTTTACGAGCTCGATGCACTCACTACGGAGCAAGTCATGATAATCTAAGCATACACCCATCAAGAATACACAAAATGCAAGCTAGAAATGGCAAGAACAATAACATAGCATGCACGGATCAACTACAACATCGTCGGCAAAATAGCTAACAAGTAGACAATCCGCCCAGATTCACGAAGTAGCAAAAGTAGAGCTCGATTGACTCAAGCTAGGGTGCTCCATAATTGCAAACAAAGACATGAATGGATAGAGCACTACAATATTAACAAAACATCCTTACTGATCATCCTCAAAAGAGGCACGGATCACTAGGAAACAACATGAACATATGGCAA